AACAGAGCAGGTGAAATATTAACTGACTCAAAACCTGATTTTAGTCCACTTGATATCAGTTGTACGCGATCTGCATACTTTCCATTTTGGTTTTCCTTTTTGAACAACACAAAATGATTCATTTGCATGTCATATAATGTTTTTCCGAAGTTTTCCAACAAAAATAATTGTATTCTCTTTGTTTTAGAAGATGCTTAAGAGTAGATTATGCGAATGTACATCTATTTGTCTATTGATCCCTGTTACAATCATCGTATTTTCATTCAAAAACGAATCTCAACATATATCGCTTTCATCTCCATCAATTGTGCATTCGAAACATTCATTCACGAAATACAGTCATGATAATACTACGACCATTGTCATAGCCTATTTTCCTCTCAAAAAGTCGAAACATACTAAGGCTAAGTATCTATTGTGGCTTGAAAATCTACTCGGATATTGTAAGTCGCCAATGATCATATTTACATCTATAGAGTATCAATCGATTCTCTACCGACTTCGTCGAAACGGGTCGTTAGCATCATATTTTATTGTTGACTATTTAACACCTTTACAAATGCCTCCCATTCAACCTCTTCTACCCATTTTTGAACTCCAGCATAATACCGATCCAGAGCGTGGATATCATTCAGTTGAGCTCTATGCTACTTGGTGTGCCAAATCGTTCATGATAAATCGAAGTGCTGAGCTTAATCCATTTAACACCAACTATTTTCTCTATGTTGATGCAGGAGCCTTTCGATCATCTAATTATCGTTTTCAAGGGTGGCCACATAGTGAAATTATTCGAAAAATACTTTCCAACGATAGGCTTCTTCTTGGCATGATTGCTCGACTTCCTCGACACTTCTGTCCATTAAAGTACAAAACTGATGAAGGGCCGATCAAAATAAATCTAGTTGAAGGTGGTGTTATTGGAGGTTCGATACGCGCTATTCACTGGTGGACATCAGTTTTTTACGAGACTATCAACAATTACGTTTCAAGAAACTTCTTCATTGGAAAAGATCAATATTTGATGAATGCCATTGCACTCACCCATGCTAATCATATCAATATGATGCTCTCGTTTCGTGTCTCCTGTGGTAACCCATGGTTCGCTTTTGGACCTCTACTTGCAAGCGATGACGAAAAATCAACTTTGTCTTATTCATTGAGTTGCCGACAAAAAAGTTTATCTTCCGTCATAATTTCATTTGAGACTGTTTGCAATGATGTAAAGAATCTGCTATGAGTTTGATTAACTATCAAAAAGAAGATGGATGAATATGTTCATCTTTAAGCATGAACCATGCTATAAGTGGCATTAAGTGTGTGTGGTGTTTACTCACAAAAGAGATTAAAGTTAAAAAAATTCATCCAAAAAGCATAAAAGAGTCCAGAAAATAGTCAAAATAGCATCTCAAAATATAATCTGAAAATGCAAAAAATTCTTTGCTATTTTTTATTCTAATTTTCGTGAATTTTTGTTTGTTTCACATGAAATAGTGTGCTTTAAGTAAACTTCCTCGAAAATAGGATAAGTTCTACGCGCTGAGGTAGAGCAACATGTTTCTAGCAATGTATTCACCGCCAAGAACCCTGCACAGATAGTTGAAAACCAAGTGGCAACCTATTTCAAACACTACGCGTCTGAATGATTCAGATCTGACACGGAAACACTGAGACAGCAGCGCTTTAACAGAAAATGGTTAAAGAAGGAATTACTTTGCTTTTTCTACCCAGTCCCACTATTTTTTCCAGTTTCTTTTAAGAATCAGTGAATATAGTATGAAACGTTTCGTATTATGTAAAAAATTGGCGATGTGATTGGGTTTCTGGCTGAATCGTGTGGAGCGAGATATCGTGAAAAAATACAATTTTCAGCTTTTTTTCAGATTTTCAAAAGAGCAGAAGCTCGAATAAGTGTTTTGATACCATATTCGAATTCAGCCTAAAATTCTACATCAAAACTTCTATCTATTTTAGTTTTTCAGTGCTTGCTTTTCTGGAGAGCATCGAGATACTCTTTATGGCGGAAAACAACAATTATTGATGATTGCTCCTTAGCAAGCTATTTTTGACATTTCTAAGACAGATATTCATGATCTGCGTAAACGGTTACATAAAAGTAGGTTGGCTTGGAAAAATTAAAAAAAAACTTTTTTCTCAAATCCTGTGGGGACTCAAGGCCTCAAAAACCTGCCTGAGCGATTTTGGCGAAACTAAGTGTCGGGAAACGTTCCTGGAAATTCTTTAGCATGGTTTCCTTGCGCAAGAACGATATTTTTTGGGACAGGATAGGGTCTTGTCCTTCCCATTGCTCTCTGTGGTCGCACAAGCATCGGAAACATGAAAGGAAAAATTATAACGATAATTATGCTGCATCACAAGTAAATCAGAATAAAATTTGAACTTTGAGAAACATAATACGAAAAACAGTTAAACAAACTGATAAGAGAAACTTGTCTAATTTCACACACATAAAGAAAAGAAATCCCCGGACGTCTTGAAGAAGATCGTATTTTTTTATGACTTGCAAATATTGATTTTTCATTCTAATCAAAAGTCAGACCGGTCTATCAATAATAATTTTTATATCTGGTGTGTTCATATAAACATAAATTATCCAATTCAAGATTCTGCATTTTAACGAATCTTAAGAGACAAACCTGTTTCAGACTTATCGTTCAGAAAACTCGATTTTCGTCAAGAAAATGGTTGGGTTGGTGTGGTTGTGGGGTGTGGGTGTGGGTGTGTGGGTGCGGGTGTGGGTGTGGGTGTGGGTGTGGGTGTGTGGTGTGATTGTGGGTGTGGTTGGTGATGTGGGTATGGGTGTGAGGCGTGTGTCAAAAGAAGTCCCACAACCATACCCACATCCACACACGCCCACACCCACACCCTATGTGTTTTTATTTTATGATATCAATTCCAATAACTCTTATCGGTGTTATTTTTTGTGGAATATGTTTCATATACAATGAAAAACACACACATTGTCAACTTATTCAATATGTTCTAGATTAAATACATTTTAATATTAAGATAATCATAAACAAATTATTTTTCCTCGATGAGCGTTACGAATAAGCAGCGAGAACAATAAATTAAGCTAATTTGAAAACCTCAATGTCAGATGCGATAAAATTTCGAGCTCCAGTAAATGTATTATTACTCTTTCCAGTTGTATCGAGGTATCCAGAAGGGAAACCAATGTAGCTTGAATTGTTTGAATTACTAGCATTTGCTAAGTGGATATCGTGACCGCTTCCAAATGTTGGGCCATAGCCACTATGATGATAAACTGCATTTGCTATGTTATCAGGATTAATGAGGTATTTAGTTGGCGGAATATTGTGAGGATTGGTCAAAGTAAATAAAAATGCTGTAGTATCATTCGCATATACATTATTCGAAGTCCATGGAATAGCTGTATAACCTCCAAAAAGATAGTTATTATTTGATTGAATAATCGTCATTGTTGGTCCTTTATTATTACAACGTGAATGAAATGCATTTGCATCAAATCCATCACGTGACGCTTTATAAATCAGTTGCCATCGTTGATTATTCTTACCATAAAATTCATTTAGTTTCTTCTTGTGGTCTGGATGAAGTAATGTTTCATCAAAACCATAAATATTCGTTAATGTAGCGATTAGAGAATGTAAACGAAAATATTCGGCTTCGATGACAAGACTATTTAGAAATATTTCATCTTTCATAGCATTAGGTGGCACAGCATTTGTACGCAAATATTCAAGAATATAAGTAAAGATTTTTCCATTTCGATCGATGAATATACTTCCATCATCAGGATCTTTGTCGAGTTGCCACTGTTTAGAGAAGAGGGCAGTGAAAAAAGTGTTTTTTTCACTTGTTAATGTGTCAACACTCGTAGAAAATTTCTCACCTCCAACATCTAGTTTAACTCTGCCTTTAATTGATGTTGTTGCTAATTTAACTTTGATATCTTTCCATTCTTTTTCTTCATTTGATGCATTAACTAATTTGTTTTCTAAGACCGTAGTCATTTCTGTTGCTTGATGATATAGTTTTTTAGCAGATTTAATACAATCACTACATTCATTTAATTTTGAAATAACGTCCTCGCGTAACGTATCGAAACGAGTTTCGAGTTGATTGGTATTGTCTCGAAGTGTGCTTAAATTGGAATCTATTTTCTCCTCTTGGTTGGTCATAGTTACTTTTGAAATGTTGTGTTTCACTTTCTCTTATTTTAATAACTGAAGTTGACTGAAAACTTGCTTGTCCTTAGTTCAATAAAAGAAATTGTTCTACTCGAAATAGGCGAAAAAAGAATGACTTGCTCCGTTTATTAGAAAAAAAGAAGTGTCGTGTCGACAAAAAAGAGAAAAAAAATGAGTCAACGGATTGACGAACGATAGAAAAGAAAAACGAAGATAAATGAAAGAATGAAGAAGAAAAAACAATTTTTTTTTTATTTTGCTCTTAAATGTAACACTCAGGAGTGCTTACATGGTAATATAAGGAAAAATTAAGGAATTTAAGCACTGAGCAACAACTTAAACGCAGTGAGTTTTACCGCCGCTACCAATATCTTTTTATCGAGTATTAACTCAGCTGGTATGGGGGTTAAGAGAGTAAATAAAGAGACAAAAAAGAGAAAAAAGGAAGGAAAAAAGAACCACGACAAGAAAAGAAAAGAATGAAGTGAAAAGCAAGAGTTAATAAAGGAAAAGAAAAAGAGAAAAGCCCATAACGAAAGAAAAGCGGTGAAGCAAAGAAGGAGGAGAAGAGAACAGAAAATGAAAGCAAAGCAGTATTACATATGCATTTCAAGGCCAAAAAAAGGAAAGGCATGTCCCATCCGGGTATATCATTAGTTCATTTTCAATAAATGATATCCATTTTAAGAGAAGTGATTCATACTTTACTATTAATCGTTTTACACGATAAGTACGAAAAAACTGACCAAGGTGATCCTTCTTTCTTTTATGAAATTCATTCCAAATAAAAATATCACTATAGAAGAGTGAACGACCAAGATCTGTTGTGTCCATACTTTTTAGTCTTCTTTGAATGTAGTGTTTAACGTATAGTTCTAATGAATCTTCGTTAGTCGTATTGTATAGATTATAAGCTGAGATAAGCGGACAACGATGCAGCAGTCGAAGACCAACACGGAATTTCTGCTGTATGAATTGTTGATGCGATTCAGGAAGCAATGGAAAGAAGGAAATATTCATGCAAAATGAGGAAATGTATATGCGAAAAAACATTGCCTAAGCGCCTTAGTAGACATAAAACGTTTTGCTCTCAACCACCTTAGCTTCCCCAATGATTTCTGAATGTTTCCTATACATCTATCAACTGTTGGTTTCAAGGATAGCTTGCTTGTCCAAGTAAATCCTAGGTATTTAAATTTGTTTACTAATTTGATTTTCTGTCCATTCATTTCAATGTTTACTCGTAGCTTTTTTATATGTGTACAAAATAATTGTGCCACTGTTTTTGATACGTTTATAGGTTGCTTCCATTGTTTTGAGTATGCAAATATTCGTTCACACACTCGAGTACCTTCGTGTTCTAGATAATTAATCATAGGTTCTAGTTTTATGCAAATAGGAGGTTTTATAATAACACAAAGATCATCCGCGAAAAGATGATCTGAATTTGCTTCTAGGCATTGGACCAAATCACAATGAAACACTATAAATAGGTATGGACTCAGACTACTACCTTGAGACAGACCAATGTTTATATTAAAGGTTTCTGATGACTTCTCTCCGCATACCACGAATGCTTTCCTATCTTTTAACCAAGATATTATCATTTTCAACATGCTAAGCGGTAGACCTAATTTTCATAGTTTAGTCAAAAGAGCTGCGTACCATACTCGATCATAAGCCTTCTGATAATCCACATAGATAGCTAAAGTCGGTATGTTCCCTGCCATACAGTTTTTCACTTCTTGATAAATTGACAAAACTCTTGTGGGTAGTAAGCAACGTGGACGAAATCCTGATTGCTCTACTGGCACTATATGATTTGTCTCCACCCAGTATCTAATTCTATTAAGTATTAGTTTTTCGAAGAGCTTCGAATGTGTTGCTAACGGGTGTCCCAGGAAAAATGAACCTCTCAATATTTTTAAGATTTCTTGTCTATTATCCCTGTAATTAAAGCTCTTTTTATTACCAAAAGATAGCGCTTGAAATTCTCTACCAAATCATATACGGCTTTGCTGAAAAATAGTATCAGATATA